ATTTGCATTTACCCTGGGGAGCCATCCTATTGGGTGTGAGGTGGCATCTCATTGTGGTTGTGATTTGCATTTACCTAATGATTATTGATGCTGAGCATCCCTTCATGTGCTTATTGGCTGTTTGTGCATCTTCTTGGAAGAAAGGTCTATTCAGATTTTTTGCCCAGTTGGGTTTTATTGTTAAGTTGTAGGAGTTCTTTTATATTCTAGATCTTAACCCTTTATCCGCCATATAGTTTGCAAATACAGGGTGGCCATAAAGTTTGTGTGCAATTTAAAATAGTACATGAACTTTATGGCCACCCTGTATTAGTTCCCATTCTATGAATTTCCTTTCACTCTGTTGATTGTGTCCTTTGATGCATAGAAGTTTTTGATTTTGACATAGTCCGGTGGATCTATTTTTCTTTTGTATCCTGTACTTTTGATGTCAAATGATTTATTTTCTTTAACTCTCTGTTCTCACTGTGAAGTGAGTTTTATTGTTATGATTTTATAGAAAAAAATGAAGTTAGGTGGTTAAGTAACTTGTCTAGGTGTGCACAAGTCTGTTTGACTCCAAGACATACTCTTCTAAATAGTGGCAGTGACCAGTGAAGACACCAGACAAATGCTGTCACGGTTAACCCAAGGGTTATGGCATTGTGTTGGTGATGATGAAGTCTCCATGGTGGCATTGCCAAGAATGGGATAGCTCACAGAGGTGAACAATGAAGTGGTAACTTTGCTAGAGTTTTGTAGCAATTAGTGGGAAGAAGTTTGGAGAATTGAGAGGAGCTGCCTTGGGAACTTCTTTATAGATAGACTTTGGATCTTCTCTAGAAGATGGCAGGGAGCCACTGATGTCCAGGATATTTCTAGGAGTAGAATTTGCCAACTACTTTTAGAGTGGTTAGGAAGGAGAGAAAGTAGAGCCCCAGGCCCCAGCTTGGGGCTGGGACAGGATGGGAACTGACACATAGGTGGTTGATATTCTCCAGGTCTCTGAACAGCAACTCCAAGAAGCTGTGGCCCAGGCTGTGGAGAGTGTCAAGTTTGGAAAGGAGAGGCATCAGTGGAGTCTGGAAGGTAAGAAAAATGATGGACTTGGACTGAAAGATCTTTGCCTCTTACAAAGCTTAGGATTTGGGCACTAATTTACCCTGTACCTAACAACAAGAAGCAACAGGCATCATAGACAGGTGTAGGACACAGACAAACGTCTAAAGGTAGCAAGCGGCCCACCAGCTAGTTTGGTTCACATTTTTGCTTTATTTTGAAGACACAGGTTTGTTTGTTTTTTTTAAACACTTGAATTTGAGTTGTTAGTGTGGAAGTCACTCTCCCTAAGGTGTCCATCACTTCCAAATTGGAAGCACATTGCCCTTGTAGGCATTTGGGTTTGCAACCCCTAGTCTATAATAACAAAATCTTGAGAAATAGTAATGTCTGTGAATATAAACCTGCCTCACAGGTCACTGCCACTTATCTAACATTTATAATGTCAGATGCCGTGCTAACTAATGCATTATTTCACTGAATTTCACATCTAATTTTGGCACACCTTTTGTAGGAAAAGGTAAGCTTCTCTTACTCAAAGCCGCACAATGAGCATCTGGGCTGGGAACCCAGCTGACCTGACTCCAGGGGTCAGCCACTGGGCATTGGCCAAGTCATTGTGGGACATCCACATGATAGGACAACGTGCTTTCATTGGCATTGATATCAACAAGGAGGTTAGATGATCTGGAAAATGCTCAGAGAAAAGAAAAGAACACAACATTGTATTTCAACTGGTCTATTATTTCTACCCACTCATCATGCATATATGCTCAGGAAAACAAGACAGAGAAATTCATGAAAATTTTGACAGTCCTTATTGCTGGCTAATAGGCCCACAGGTGAATTTTGACTTTCCTTTCTTCCTTCTTCTGGCCAAGGTTTCTCTAGGGAGGATGCATTACATCAAGGCCAGGAAAAAGCAAAAGAACATTCTTTAAAGAAAATGTGAATTAGGAGCGTGGTTGGCCTTGGCCTTGGTTCTCTCCTGAGGGCTAAGCTGTTCTTTCAGGGGATCTCCTGGCTCCCTGGCCTCTCAAGGATGAACTGGAATTTGAGTGAGAGACTCGGCCTCAGTTGGCTCCCACCCCTTTGAGGGATGTCTTTTATAGTTTACCAATGGAGAGAAGGGCCTCTTGAGGATATGTGGGTGGCCCAGGAGCTATAAACTATGACAGGGAACCAGGAAGAAAGGCTAGAGCAGGTGTCCTCAAACTACGGCCTGCGGGCCACATGCAGCCTGCCTAGGACATTTATCCAGCCCGCCAGGTGTTTTTGCCACCCATGCCTGTCCTGCTTAGCAGCTGACTCATCCCGGGGCTTGCAGTCCGGCCCTCCAACGGTCTGAGGGACAATGAACTGGCCCCCTGTTTAAAAAGTTTGAGGATCCCTGGGCTAGAGGGAGGTAAAGAGAGCAAGGGCTATGGCTAAGAAATTGTTTTTCTGTCCTTGCCCCATCCTTAGCTAGAAAAAACAAAGGTAACCTTTTGGTATATGATCAAAGTGCCTTCTTAGGAGCTGTTTTATCAAGCTTCAAAACAAGCCCTGCAACCTTGAAATTATCATCACCATTTTACAGATACAAAAATGAGTTTCTGGGAGCTCACAGCTGAGGGAGGGAGGAAGCCTGGTTGGGTGGAGGGAGGAATGGAGCTAATCCCCTGGAGCTCTGCAGCTGATGTGGCCCATCAGAGCTGTCCTCAGTCAGCAGGAATGGCCAGGCCTCTGTGCCCCATCCCTGTCTGTCACTGGAGATGGACTGCCCCTTGGGCAAGGCAGCTCTCTGCAGCTGCAATAGTGAAAAAGCAGTCTGCCACCAGTGCTCCCCATAGCTGGGACAGGTGATCTGGGTGGCACGTCTCAACATCTCCCACATGCAGGCTCAGTGAAA